TCTATTAGCGGTGACGTTTCGATCTAAAACCACATCATCGGTTACACAAAACGTCACTCAAACTTACCCCGCGATTACTAGTGGCAAGATTACCGGCACAACATCGGGATATGAACGGGTCATTCTTTAAAAAAAAAAAAATAGAAAAGAGAACCGACAAAGTTACTCGATCTCGTAGTCACCGTGTTTCTGCGTACAGTAAATGTTCGATCAGGGACCGTGTTACAAGAGTTAGGTTCAGACGGTTTTCAGTGTGTATGTGCCCCCTTGTGTATGCACACAGCGATTGTAGTAGACCGAGTACACCTATAGCACAGACAGAAATAAACAGCTAAAAATATACTTACAGAATTGAGAGCCAAATTTAATTTTAAGATTTGTATAGTCGCCGTCGACACGCATACATGCACACATTTACACGGTAGCAGACAGTCTAAAACTGCTTGGTTACCTGCAAACTGTATCCTTTTCCTTATTGCGTAACGCATAACCACAACGTGACGCCATACGTGACATAAAACTAGACAAATTGTTTATTTTCGATGGTATCCATGAATGCAGCGGACCCAACAGGTTTGTCTGGACCTTCCAACGACAAGAGAGATATTGGCACCCTTACACGTTGGAAGATTATTTAAGGGAGCCCTATAATCCGTCGTTATGCTACAAAAACCTAGAGAATCCGTTATCCCTTTATGGAACGCGATGAGTCCCTGACTTACCAGAAGATAAGAGTCATTATTACCCTGCAAGCTTCGGATCCAATGATACGGTATAACATACAGTCATATCGTGACCATATGTGGGACAACATTAGAGAAATAGCACATTTTTTATGGGATCAACGAACGCAACGAACCTGGCTGGTATGCCAAAACATTCCAGCAAGGGAAACACTATTTATTACCCTTACAAGTTAGAAAGTTATCCGCAGACAACTTACAACTGCATGGTGATACCCTATGTGGGGCAAAGCTAGAGAAATCTTTCATTTTTTTATAGGACCATCAAAGGCGACGAATGTGGTTGATATGCCAAAACAGTCCAGCAAGAAAAAGACTCGTTATTACCCTTACAAGTTAGAAAGTTATCCACAGACAACTTACAACTGCATGGTGATACCCTATGTGGGGAAAGCTAGAGAAATCTTTCATTTTTTATAGGACCTTCAAAGGCGATGAATGTGGTTGATGTGTCAAAACATTCCAGCAAGGGACAGACTTGTTATTACCCTTACAAGTTAGAAAGTCATCCACAAACAACTTACAAGTGCATGGTGATACCTTATGTGGGGCAAAGCTGAAGACTGAAGTAAACTGTCCCTGAAGAAGGTAACTTTGTTACCGAAAAGTGCTTCCGACAACTACAGTGTCGTGTTTTGGCGTTGGGGTTCTGAGCTATTCTGTTTGTTCTATAAATAAAAACAATCACTAAACTTTATCATATTTTATTATAACAGGTGTATGACAATTTCAAACACGAAAATAAATTACTTTATGAATGAATCATTATTAAACCATTATTATTTGTATCTATTGTTTAAGACTATCCAACCAAAGTTAAATGTGGACGCAATTTCGGAATTTACTTTGTAGACGAAATGGTCTAGATACATACGTTAGATTGAGATTTATTGGAATAATGATATTATTGCGGTATTGTAAACTGTTTTTTTTTTACGACTGATGTAATTGAATTTACTGCACGGACCAATCTGAAAATTAATAACCCATTAGGACCGCTCCCACATGCGGACTGTAAAAAAGCAATTTTGTCGGCAAACGCCACCCACACTGTTGTTTTGCAAATTTACGAAAAAAAAAAAAAGAACAAGAACACGCAAGATTATTATCAATACGCCCAATCAATAAAAACAAAAGTTGATTTTCAAATCAAACGGCAAATTCGTAAATATTATAAACACTAGAGCAGATAGCATATAAAACGACCATCAAAACGGTTGTAAAATAATTTTACGACAGTGATACTAAGACACAGTTATGGCTAGTAAATCAAATGGCTAACGACCAATTTAATTATTACTAGGTACATGCAAAATTCTTCACTCGTCCATATTGCACTTGATTATTATTACTTAACTTCCAAAAATATAGAAGCAACAACCAAGGAAACTTTTGAGTCACCTGAAACTTCCGCACGCACTGGTACAAAGGGTACCAGGGCGTAAAAATTAGTCATTTCCACTTTACCAGGAATTAACACCAAGGAATTTTATTTCGAAACTATAAATAATGTACAACCCAATCAATCTATGTAACTGGTTAAATATTTTTAGGTATCTATAAACGTTTTATTTACAATAATATCTAGCACCTACAATTAAGATTTTATTGACTTAAGACTACACAGTTACAGTAGTTAGTTCATTCTTATTTTATTTTTTTATGCTTATACGTGCGGGAATATACACTCTCTTGACTTCTATCCACTTCTCTCTGAACTGTTTTCAGTATATCATAAGTCACTTCTTCTGCAAACCCTACTCATCTCTACGTTTTTAAGTAAATTTAACATATAATATTTAGTTTTATTTTAATAATCAGTCTTGGAATAACCCAAGAAATAACACCCTCTATATATTATTTATTTCATTTTTTCCTTTAACTACCCCCATTTTCGATAACACGGAGAAGGGATTAATTTAAAATATTCCCCCGAGTCCTCTCTTAAACTTTTCTCGCCGCTATCTCACGGAAAAAAAATGTTTTCTTTTCCAGCTTCGTACTCCATAACTCTCTCTCTCGTCCCTAGGGTTTTACTTGCTCTCTCGTTCTCGCAACATGATAAAAAGTGTTTTAGCGATATATAAATCTTTGATCAAGCTAATCTTCTATCAACATATCTTATTTCAGTATTTTCCTGAGTACATTTCCTTTTCCAAAACAGATTTGTGAGAACAGTGCTTAATTGTGACGCCTTTCTAGCTCTGACCTCATAACATACGTCCTTACGTTCATATTTTATATATTTATCGAAAAAAATGCTTTGATGTTTCAAGGATTTTAAAGTGACACATTTGAACAATAAGTGATACATTACGTTTAACAGAAATAGGTTTTGAGTAATTTTAAGTAGGTATGTCTCTCTTTTAATGTGTAACTTTTATTAAATTCCTTAAAAAAGTGCCAAACATAATATGTTACGGATAGAATTGTTTAGATGTTTCAATGCTAAAAAATCTTTTTTAGACCTAATAAATTTTTATTTTTTTGATTTACTGTACGCTCGATTCAAAATTGCCCATGACGATTATAATTACTTGCAAATGCACTTATGGAGAAGATAGACATTGTCTTGTTACCTCAGTAGCTATAACTAGGGTAAAAAATAGCAGATTTGGATCGCAAATGTCTTAAATTAAACAAGAAATTTCTATCTCAAATTAATCTTGAATTTTTATTTTACATTTTGTTGTGTCAACAATTATAACCATAATAATACAACATCCCATGTATATTAGGTATATATTATTAGTAAGTCAGCCACTAATATTAACAACAGAGGGTAAAAGGTAATATATTTGAAAAGCAATTTTCATTAAATTAGCTACAGCTTCTTTTAAGAATTCATGTATAAATATTACCTAGCCTTTATGGAAACAAAGCAAGTAGAGAAAAAAGTTCATAAATTCGGGAAAACCGAAAAGCACCCCATAATAAAAACACAAAAGGAAGAAAGCTATGGAAGCTTACAGACAATATTAAATAGCTACTTGAACCCGTTTTAAATTTAAACGTTACTTAAGGAAACATTTGCCCAAATACTTCAATATACATGTCAAAATTTTAAGGTAAGACTGTACCAATCAGGGTAAATATCCTTAGAATACGTCAAAAATTTTTTGTGGTATGTTTCCCCACGATTAACTAAAACACTGACAAACACACAGACAATATAAGATATAATAATGTAAAAGGTACCAGAACAATTACCTAGTACCTATTACTGAATTGTACCATAAAAAAAGTATTCATTTTTAAAACAATCTTACCTCACCGATTCGAAGCCGGTGCTATTGTGACGGGTATCGTGACGTAAAGTTACAACTCTATCTATTAGCGGTGACGTTTCGATCTAAAACCACATCATCGGTTACACAAAACGTCACTCAAACTTACCCCGCGATTACTAGTGGCAAGATTACCGGCACAACATCGGGATATGAACGGGTCATTCTTTAAAAAAAAAAAAATAGAAAAGAGAACCGACAAAGTTACTCGATCTCGTAGTCACCGTGTTTCTGCGTACAGTAAATGTTCGATCAGGGACCGTGTTACAAGAGTTAGGTTCAGACGGTTTTCAGTGTGTATGTGCCCCCTTGTGTATGCACACAGCGATTGTAGTAGACCGAGTACACCTATAGCACAGACAGAAATAAACAGCTAAAAATATACTTACAGAATTGAGAGCCAAATTTAATTTTAAGATTTGTATAGTCGCCGTCGACACGCATACATGCACACATTTACACGGTAGCAGACAGTCTAAAACTGCTTGGTTACCTGCAAACTGTATCCTTTTCCTTATTGCGTAACGCATAACCACAACGTGACGCCATACGTGACATAAAACTAGACAAATTGTTTATTTTCGATGGTATCCATGAATGCAGCGGACCCAACAGGTTTGTCTGGACCTTCCAACGACAAGAGAGATATTGGCACCCTTACACGTTGGAAGATTATTTAAGGGAGCCCTATAATCCGTCGTTATGCTACAAAAACCTAGAGAATCCGTTATCCCTTTATGGAACGCGATGAGTCCCTGACTTACCAGAAGATAAGAGTCATTATTACCCTGCAAGCTTCGGATCCAATGATACGGTATAACATACAGTCATATCGTGACCATATGTGGGACAACATTAGAGAAATAGCACATTTTTTATGGGATCAACGAACGCAACGAACCTGGCTGGTATGCCAAAACATTCCAGCAAGGGAAACACTATTTATTACCCTTACAAGTTAGAAAGTTATCCGCAGACAACTTACAACTGCATGGTGATACCCTATGTGGGGCAAAGCTAGAGAAATCTTTCATTTTTTTATAGGACCATCAAAGGCGACGAATGTGGTTGATATGCCAAAACAGTCCAGCAAGAAAAAGACTCGTTATTACCCTTACAAGTTAGAAAGTTATCCACAGACAACTTACAACTGCATGGTGATACCCTATGTGGGGAAAGCTAGAGAAATCTTTCATTTTTTATAGGACCTTCAAAGGCGATGAATGTGGTTGATGTGTCAAAACATTCCAGCAAGGGACAGACTTGTTATTACCCTTACAAGTTAGAAAGTCATCCACAAACAACTTACAAGTGCATGGTGATACCTTATGTGGGGCAAAGCTGAAGACTGAAGTAAACTGTCCCTGAAGAAGGTAACTTTGTTACCGAAAAGTGCTTCCGACAACTACAGTGTCGTGTTTTGGCGTTGGGGTTCTGAGCTATTCTGTTTGTTCTATAAATAAAAACAATCACTAAACTTTATCATATTTTATTATAACAGGTGTATGACAATTTCAAACACGAAAATAAATTACTTTATGAATGAATCATTATTAAACCATTATTATTTGTATCTATTGTTTAAGACTATCCAACCAAAGTTAAATGTGGACGCAATTTCGGAATTTACTTTGTAGACGAAATGGTCTAGATACATACGTTAGATTGAGATTTATTGGAATAATGATATTATTGCGGTATTGTAAACTGTTTTTTTTTTACGACTGATGTAATTGAATTTACTGCACGGACCAATCTGAAAATTAATAACCCATTAGGACCGCTCCCACATGCGGACTGTAAAAAAGCAATTTTGTCGGCAAACGCCACCCACACTGTTGTTTTGCAAATTTACGAAAAAAAAAAAAAGAACAAGAACACGCAAGATTATTATCAATACGCCCAATCAATAAAAACAAAAGTTGATTTTCAAATCAAACGGCAAATTCGTAAATATTATAAACACTAGAGCAGATAGCATATAAAACGACCATCAAAACGGTTGTAAAATAATTTTACGACAGTGATACTAAGACACAGTTATGGCTAGTAAATCAAATGGCTAACGACCAATTTAATTATTACTAGGTACATGCAAAATTCTTCACTCGTCCATATTGCACTTGATTATTATTACTTAACTTCCAAAAATATAGAAGCAACAACCAAGGAAACTTTTGAGTCACCTGAAACTTCCGCACGCACTGGTACAAAGGGTACCAGGGCGTAAAAATTAGTCATTTCCACTTTACCAGGAATTAACACCAAGGAATTTTATTTCGAAACTATAAATAATGTACAACCCAATCAATCTATGTAACTGGTTAAATATTTTTAGGTATCTATAAACGTTTTATTTACAATAATATCTAGCACCTACAATTAAGATTTTATTGACTTAAGACTACACAGTTACAGTAGTTAGTTCATTCTTATTTTATTTTTTTATGCTTATACGTGCGGGAATATACACTCTCTTGACTTCTATCCACTTCTCTCTGAACTGTTTTCAGTATATCATAAGTCACTTCTTCTGCAAACCCTCTATCACTTAACAGAACAAAGAGAGAAAACCAATTACTAATAGGGTCGACTGCATATTTGTCCTTCAGAGTACTAATTTGATCCGAGTCTTCATTTTCAATTGAGTCGCCATATCGAATTGAATCACCATCTCCAACTGAGTCATCATTTCTATTTAAATCTCCATTTCGACCTGAAATACCACTTGAAGTCGGGTTACCATTTCGAATTAAGCCATCACCTGCCACTGAGTCATCATTTCGAATAGGGCCCCCATTCCCAACTGAGTCACTTTTCTGAAATGGATAACCATTTCGACCTGAAATTGGGTTGCCATTTCGAATAGGACTACCACTTGCGACTGAGTCACCCATTTGAACTGAGCCATAATTTGAAATAGGGGTTCCATTCCTAACTGAGTCACCTTTCTGAAATGGATAACCATTTCGACCTGAGATACTACTTGAAATTGGGTTACCATTTCGAATAGGGCTACCACTTGCTACTGAGTCACCTATTTGAACTGAGTCATCATTTCGAAATGGGAAACTATTTCCAACTGAGTCACTTTTCTGAAATGGATAACCATTTCGACCTGAGATGCCACTTGAAATTGAATCATTGGTTTGAAACGAGTGACCGTTTTGAATTGAGTCAACTCCGTTCACTTCGCTTTTCTGTTCCGAAGACACAAGTCCAGTGGTTCGGATCATATATGTTTTTTCTTCGACTTCTTCACCAGCTGAATCAATACCAACACTGATTGTATGATTAACAATAACGTAATCCTGGTCCGAATAAATACTGTCAAAATTTGCTTTCGTTGTTGGATTTTGGACTGAATCCATTGTTTTTGCTGCCAATGGCCCTTGTTGTGAAGCGCAAAGACTGCAACTACAATTATTAGTTTCATTTTTAATTTGTTTGCTAAGAATCGCCTGGGATGAGACTGTCACTTTATTTATCTCTAAGTCTGCATTTCTCGTTGGTAATACGGGTTGAGTGATCCTATTCAATTTGAATTTCTTCCTGTAGATATCCTGAGGAAGCGGATGAAAAATGTTGGAGCTAGTGCTCGGGCCTTTCAAAAATGTCGTCCTCCTTGTTGACGAATGGGATAATAGAGCAAATGGAGATAATGTTGAAGACGTTCTATGGAATCTCATCGCCGACACAAGAGGATCAGGTTCAACGTTTATATTCCGAAGTTTCGTGAACCTCTTGTGCGTATGGGGTGGTGTTTCTTCATTCATTTGGGGTATACAAGCAATGTAAACCTGAAAAAGATTGACGTTAACCATTAAAATGTGTGGAATGCCGGAGTGGCTCTGTTGATAGAGCGGTATGCTATGACACGAGGGGATCGGAGTTCAAACCCCGTTCTAAACATATCCATTTTTAAATTAGCAAGGTTATTCTGGCAATACTACACACCCGTAAGGATACAGGATGTTCTAGTTTTAGGGAAATGCGAAGATTAGCTCAGGATAGGAAATAGTGGAGATACATGTCCAACCAGTCTTAAGACTGACGACCTTATGATAATGATTCTGGCAATACTACACCCCTACCAACTTTCCGGCTTTAAAATCGCCCATGAATAAAATATTTACGTTGGGGCTTATCCTTGAACCCGTAAAAAATATGATGACGTACCACAACGTTTTTGCGGTTACTTTTCAGCCCAAAGGGAAGTTTTACAGTAGCAAATTTTGATCTAGTCCATGAATTAAAAGTGTATCTATTTCTTCAGAGTTTATTCTTTGTTAGAAGTAAAAGAGTGGTGTAAAAAAGCTGTAGGCGTTTTTATTTGTTTAATTTATTCTGACCGTTCAAGTCTCGAATACGACCAAGCGCGGATAATGGAAAAAGTTATTCGTTCACTTCGCCAACACTTCTGTCGTGTTTGAGCCAAGTTTTGCATCTGCTCCCGCTTCGAAACTTTAGAAAATAAGATCTGGCTTGTTCGAAAAGTTCGGGCCTGTGATGTGCATGGGCCGAAGGCCTCACTAGTATTTAATGAGCATCGAATGGACTGTTCGGAGAATATGTAAAGTTACCAGTAGGTACCGAATATTTATTCCAAAACAAAGTATACGAGATAAAGGAAATTTTGCTACCACCATCTATGTATTATAAAACGACCGCACGCTTCGTCCTTTATTTTTCCTTCACTTCCGGCAATTGTTTTTCAATTTTCATGGAATACACTACATCCCAAACGGTGCACTTTTGAGAAATTCTTAATAGTTATTATCATCATCATCATAATGTGGTCAGTCCTAAGACTGGTTGGACACGTACCTCCACTCTTTCCTATCCTGAGCTAAACTTTGCATTTCCCTAAAACTAGAACAGCCCACATCCTTAACTATTTGTGAACAGTAATCTAATCCCCTTCCTAACTCCTGTTTCTGCCTATAATATGTCTCTGACTAGACCTTCATGCCTAAGAAGGTGTCCTACCAACCTATCTCGACTANATATACAATTTTTTTTTAATTAAAACAAATGTGAATTTATAATACCTAAAGAAACAAATCCACGAACTAAATTGTCAGATATCTACTCTCATTGACCCTATACATCAAGTACCTACTAAATCAGATATTTATTACGATGTCCTTCGGTGAATTGCATTTAGCTTCAAGACGGGGTCAGAGACAAATGGGGTGAACTTTAAAAAATTAAAACAAAAGAGCTTCTCGCGCATGCAGAGACGTTTGTTTTATAAAAGGCTCTAAATCTTCCACGTTGAACGTTAGTTTTCCAGACCGTTCGAATTTTCTTCAGTTCCGCGAGCTAGCCAATTAAAGTTTTTATTGCGAATGAGAATTCGCCTTAAAAACAGGTTCCGGAGTGAAAATATCGTAACATAACGGTGAAATGTGCCCAGAACTAACTGTGCAGACGAATACAAGTAAATTGAACCAGAAGGAAATTAAAATAATTTTAACTGTACACAATACCGACAGTGTTTTTTACTACCATTGAATTCCACGTGAAATTTTAAGGAAAACTTGTCTTTACAGTTTTCCAATCCGAGTTCAAATAACCGTGTAAATGGCAATTGAAAACTGACGTAAGTAGGCTGGCTGCAAGTGCGCCTGGAGTTGCAAGCTTGCAGACAACGAGGCGGGCTCTGATTGGTTGTTTCTTTCAATATTAAATATCTCGATTATTTTACGTCGTATCAAAAAACTTCAAAGGAAATTTTTTTTCCTAATTTTCCAAAGACTTAGCTGATGACAGCGTGTATTTGTAAACTCTATTTATTTAGCCGCTACAGCACCATTCGGACAACCGTCTTTACAAAAATAATTTTTGACGCCTTTCCTTCTCGTCTTATCCTTCTTCTAAATAACTACATAATCTGGAAAAAAAATAGAGCAGAGTTTTTTTTCGAAATGAAAATATTCACTTCGGTTGGTTTATTTCTATTTCCACACGCACACAGACTAAGGGCCGTCACAATATACATACGTGTAACGGCCAAGGCAATTAGGAGATTGTTTACACGCCTAGAATGAGTTAAAATGGTATAAAAACGTCTATTTTTCCACTAAAACAGAGCTATTGGACCGTTTAATGGGTGCCGCCAACATTTCGAAAACAATCGCGTACGGTTTTCCCATAACCCAACCAATTAAAGTCAAAAGTCTTTTTTTTAATTACACTCAATCAGCAATTACAAAAGTTTTCTTCCAAACATCCAAATACTTAACAACTTCTACGGCCCTAACAAATCTAATGATTAAAACTCAACGTAAAGAGAGCAAAAGTCTTCGCGTTAATAAACTAAATTACTCCAAGCCGAATGCATAACATCAACATTACAGGACGATTAAGAGAACACGGACTACAAATCGGGACAAAATGTCCTTTATTTAACCCCTTCCGAGAAGTGGATTACGAAAAAATTTGCGTGTGTATGCGCTTTACGGATTAACCTTATTATTTTTTTTGCTTAATGTAATACCAGGCAAGGCATGTGCTCCAGTTAATCGAAAAGAATAGCCACAACAGAAACTAGAGATATACCTGCCTAAGCCAAGGTTTAAAGGATTTATTGTGTGCCTGGCATAGAGAAACAGTAATCAGAATGTACATATACAAGTCCGGATTTTTATCTAGTTACAGATTTATAAAGAATAAAGGCTAGTACACACTTGCGCCGCTTATGTACCGCGTAAAGTTCTCCTTGAGTCCGGCTGAACTGCCGCAAGTCTACAATCAACTTATTAGATTATGTTAACGAACTGATGATATTATCGAGTCCTTATCCAGTAGTATAAAACCTAACCTAACCTATATTTTGTAGGGTTCTTATCCAATGGTGTGGAATCTAACCTAACCTAACATAACCTATATATATATATATAACTGATTGCGAATGAAATCATAAGAAACTAAACTAAGTATTTGCATTATATTCTGCAAGTATACGAACTATCTGATGGGTTTCGTCCAGTCGTAGACAGGTATATAAAAGCGTAGCTAACCCACGACGTATCATCCAATTATAACCTTACTTTTTCGCCGTGAGCGTGATTATAAGCGAATGATTTTCTACTTATTATTTGTCGTTGTAACAGCAGCTTATGCGAGAGGAAACAGTTGAAATGTTGCCAACTGCTATTCTTCTTCTTTCAATTGATAGATCAATAACGGGAACATGGCTGAATACATATTTATCGTAACAGCATGCATATTATTACACTGTAACATATCAAAGCACTTTCCCGCTGTTTACTGACACAATCATTTCTGATATTCAACATTACGCCACCAGCAATCGTGCTGTTACAAATGGAAAAGGACAATCCTTGACAGACAGGATTAACTTAATAACTATTTATTTATAGAATTCAATGCTAATATTTGTTAAGGATATACGGGAGTATTCGGGAAAAGTCCTAGACGAAAACTTTGGGCACACAAAAATTATTTTTTAATGTATTTAGCCCAAAATGTTGGAAATTTGCGTGGATTTTCCCTGGATTATACTGAAAATATTTTATCCAATTTTTAACTTTTTTTGGTTACATCTATTCATTATCATAAGGTCGTCAGTACTTCGTCGCTGACACCCTACTTTTTCTTACCTTGCATACCAGTAGTTTTGTTTCACTTTTATCTATTTTCATACAATACTGTTGTGTCAATACCGCTTCCATTTTATTTAAAGCTATCTCTAACTCCTCCTTGCTATACGAGGGTGGATTGATAAGTTTCCGGCCTAACCAAGAGATGACGCCACTAGGCCTACCTTGAGGTGACATTCTATAGTACCATCCTTGGATAGCTTGTAGCTATAGTTTCAGCCCGATCTCCT